CAACACATTATCATATATATTTTTTTCTTTCATTCTATCATTCTCTCTCAATGCTCATGCATGCACACACAGACACATGCATGCATGCACGCATGCACGCGTGCGCGCGTGCATGCTCGCTATCTCTCAGTCGCTCACACGCACATGCACAGCCACACTCATTCACTCACTCACTCACACTCTCTCTCTCTCTCTGCATCTGAATAGAAATTTACATAACACCCTATATTATAAATTATCAATATCTATCATGTTTACCTTGAACCAAAATATTACATTATATTCAATAGCCATTTTAATATAAATCTTAAGAAAGACTTGGATAATTGGTATATGCAATAAGAAAATTTTGTAAACAGATCTCATAAAATAATTTACATTGTTTTCAGTATTATGCATATCTTTTAAAATTCCTTATACTGCTCTTGCCAAGGAATTCCAAAGGAAAATGTTTTACAATGAACATTCAACTAAATTAAAATGCAGCACAATTTCTTTTATAATTATGCATATTACAATGCAACACAGGTATGCTTTTCTTAATGAATACTAAATGTACTTTTTTTTTTTCTTTTTCTTTTTACAAATTCTCCTATGTTAAATTTCACTGTGAAAAACGAGCAGTCCTTATGACTCCTAATGTTTTTTCATCAAGCAGTGATAAATCTTGACTATGTGAAAGCCTACTTCAGTCTGTCAATATTCTTTGCATTATTTCCATTGGTGAGTGAGTGTGGAACCTATTCCTGCCTGCTGTTACTAGTAGCGTATGGTGTATTATAGAAAATAGGATATTACCAAAATATATATAAAGGACACAAATAACAAAATGTTACTTATTGTTATTGTCATTGTACAGAGTTATAGACTACCTAGAGAGATTATATGGAGTCTGTGCAAGTAAAACATTTTATTCCCATCTTGATACAGTATATTAAATGATAAATATAGGTCTTGGAAAATGGCAAATAAGCAAAAAATGCTTTTGCAGAAGAAGAGATAATAACAATGTAGAGGGGAGGCAATGAGTCTTGATACTGTAAACAAATGTCCATGGGCATCCAGCCTACAAGCAATCACACATCCTAGAGAGTCACCAGTCAAGTGAGCATGGATTTTGGGCCACATGTAGGCAGCAAAGCACCCAGATCCAAATGGCCACATTAGCACTACACTTGCTTACATGATTTCCAAGATGTTGGGAAAAAGTTTTTTTTGTATCTTTCTCAAGGCTATTACATTCCAAGAGCAACACTCCACACCTGTGAAGACCTTTAAAGTTCATATTCTGTTCAAAGATATTTTTAATGCATTGTGTGGAGGTTTAATATAATTGGATATTATATAGAGAAACATTTTATGCATAGGATTCTTTCAGTAGAGAAACTATACTGATCATGAAATCTTTACTTAATGCAATACTGACTACTTTTTTAACTGACTGTAATACAATTTAAAATCCAAACTGCAAAAGTGATCTAACAGTCTCTTGCTAACACAGTATAATAATAACTGTAAAAGTATTATCAAATTGTAAATTTCAAAATAATTCTTCCCGATGTGTCTACAGTACATTTAATCAAAACATTTTCCATAAAACATCCTGCCAAGTCCACAGACTATTACATAAACATGACAGATACTTGATTATATCTAGTTACATTATATCTTGTGAATGCCTTCAAACACCAATGAAACCATCTATGGAAATTCTGAAAACCTAATTTAATTTATTGTGTCTGCATATAATTTGTAGCATCTTGTGTTGTACTAAAAATGCCAGTATTTCCTTTGATCTTGAATCTTTTCAAAAGTTTACATCTTGCAAAGAAAAAGGGGGAAAAAAGATACGACATAAAATCCATGAAAAGTGTATGAATGCATTTTCTCATTTAAAGCTACACATTTTCTTGTGGTAAAATATCTTTCAGACACCACAGTCTGTTTGTTACAAGACCAATATTTACAGTACAGGGATTCAGTATATCATACACAGAAAATAATGTTATATATAAAAACTGGGCCAATACCATAAATTCAACTTGTAAAAATGAAAACATATATGTAAATTACTGCTAAGGCCACATCAATTTTATTTGTTGCTTCTTGGAATTTTCATATACAAAAATGGAGTGAAGGGGGGGGGGGAGATATAGGGCTTACTGAACATAAAGAATAACAGGATTATTCAGGTTTTCAACTTTTCATAGCACGTTTTATGTAATGAATCCCATCCTTTAATCTATTACTACAATTCTGAATAAAGGACATGTGTTGCATTTACTAATATTGCTGTAATTTTTGTTTTGTATCATGTCAATCCAATGTTTAATAAGGCAATAATATTAAAAAACAAACAATTCGTACCAAAAATCAAAAACTAAAACAGTTTAAAACTATAAGTTTAGTTTATTCTAGTTTAGAGTAGCGCACAACAGCACAAAACCAAACCTAAGGCACCGTATTGTCTTGAAAGATAAGACACATACCGATTGTTTGTCCACTACAGATTTGCAAGAGCAAAACCTGTAGTGGTCCGGCCTTATTTTTTATTTATTATTATTATAATTTTTTTTTTTTTCAAAATGCAAAAAAAAATGAGGTGGCAAATCCGAGAAGTAACAAATAAAACTGGTGTGGCCTAATAACACAAATACACCTCATGGACTAGATAACCACTGACAATGAAAATATCTACTTATTATATGAAAAACAAAAAATGGGTTACATAATAGCAAATAGGAAATAGTCTGTACTTTTATAGCTTCACCCTTCACCTCCAGAGAGTTATGCCAAGAAAGTCTGTTACCTCAATTTATAGTATTTCTTATCAAGTATTTTGCAATGTGGTGGCAGCATAATTTTGTAAACATTAAAAAAAAAAAAAAAAAAAAAGACCTTATCAATTCATACATGTTTATATCAAAGCCATCAACCAGGACTTCTGGGGATACAAGGCATGAAAATACATCAGTTTCCTACATGTGGTGCATGCTGCTATATATACACAAGATCAGTTTAAGCCTTATGACCACATTCACTTACAGTCTTATATAGTGAAAAGTACTAATAATGGCAGATAGGAGGAAAATGCCTCCAAAAGTATTGGTGGTCCTCTAGTGATGCTCGTACCAAAATTACTGACCAAACCCTAAGTCCCCCCCAAAAGTACCAGTGGTATTTTCAACTAGTTCTTTCTTTGTACTGGCACTACATTTTTGGAGAAGTAGCCATTTTCCTTGTAACTACAGTATCAGTACTTTTTGATATATAAATATGCCAGAGGCAGGTAATTTTAAAATCTAATGTGCCAGCAGCATTTCCCAACACTGCTGCACAGAAATAGTTTGTTACATTATAGTATATGATTGCATAGGGGGGAAAAAAAGAGAGAGAGAAAAAAAGGCAAAAGTGTTCTTTGGACTTGATATCCTAAGATACAAAAGGTGAAAAATCATCTTGAAAATGTGTCCTAATCCCGTGGACAACATGTAGCCGAAACTTAATCATGACAAATTTTATGTACTGTTTCAATATTGTATGTCAATTCTCTTAGATTGGAAAGTTGCTCCTCTTTTCTAAATATTACTGTAAATAACAAAAATAGGTTGTGATATGTGCTTATATACCCAAAGGAAAAATAAGGGATAAAATGACAAGATATATGAGATATATGTTATATTTTTTTATATCCTTTGTGAAAAAATTAAAGAAGAAATACAAGATAAAGCCAAAGTTTCATGAACCTAATTAATAAATAAATTCACATGTGGGATGTTTATCTTATTCCAGACCTTGAGTCACTATCAGTAAATTTTATCACATAGGCATAAAAAATTATTTCTGTTGTTCAAAAAATATGAAAAAATCCCTTCTCTAATGGGGAAAAAATAAAAAAAAATCAGTAAGTAATTACACACAATGTAATAAATCATAATTACAATATAGTAAATAAATGTGTATGTAAAACTACAAATGTAAATTACACATACAAGCAAGTATTTAAGAGCAACCCCACTCAAAAAACATCTTGCTTTTATATGCTTGCCTTTCACTACTTTTGAGAAACATTTTACAACAGATTTAGAAGCCATAGAAGCTGCTCATTTATGTATTATATCAAATTAGTGTCAATGATGCCTGGTGACTAGCTGAAAATAACTTTTTGGAGAGGGAACTTTGCCAAGATTGCTTGCTTTGAGTTGGATAGGAGCACTCTTAAGTACAGTTTCATCAAGACAAGCTTTTCTTCAGAACCTTTCTTTTATGAATTACATGAAAAAGCAAATTAACATAAAATACAATCTAAGGGATGTTTTCTCTCAGTTAAACACAATAGCAAAACAGTCTTGACAGAATTCTATGTCTATATAAAAAAATTGGTGGAGCTGTATATTAGTTTTCACTGAACAGTAGGTGTAAGTGAATAATGAAAGTGTGGAGTTCAAAAGGTGTTTGTTTGAAATATACTGGGGAAAAATATCAAACATGTAAGACTTGTTGATGACCATGGTATCATATGTGTCTGTGGTTATACATCTACAATATATAAATAGACTTTAGTAAATATGGAAGTTAATATATTAGACTTCAAGTGACAAAAAATATATTTCAAATCTTTCCTGCCATAATGGAATGAGCTGTTCTAACTTAATAAACTTAATGTTTTTTTATATACTAATTCAGTCTACTTAAGAAACCAGATCCTTTAAGGACTCATTAAATCTATTAATGTCTTTTTCTGGTACTAAACTATATTTTCTCTTGCATCATCAAAGCTCCCCACTTTCCTGTTTTGTAACTCCTCCCACTAACCCACAAAAGCTACTTGTCTCTTGGCTACAGAAGTAGACATGACAAAACTCACTTTATTAAGTTTGTCACTACATCTCTAAACATCCTTTTCTAATTATCATTAAAAGGTCAGTAAATGTTAAAATCATACATCTTACTTTACCATCATTTTTCTAATCAAAATCTTTTATATTATAAGATCATCTGAAATTGGTAGATATAATGGGAAAAATGTTAATATATAAATGACCATAGAATATTAAAGTTGAGGAGGCCATGACAGGCAGCAAATAATATATCATTGAAAGAATCAATCTGCATTTAACTCAATAGCTTCAGTATTAAAAATTAGCTAGTGGACAGTAATGCTAGGTCGTTGGGATGCACTGGCAGTTTCCCTGTTATTGCCTAGCTTGTTCAGTACTTCGAGCTCAATATTAGGCGCCTAATAGCCTGTAACCCAATCTGAAAAACAAAAAATTGAAAAACTTACGGTTTCACTATATTTCATGGTGACACCAAATGTGTCACCACTATCGGAAAAAGATGAATTTCCTCTCATGAGCTGATGGCACAGGGTATGTCATTATGCAATGCCATCTGTGACTCAGCCCACAAGAGACAGTGCATTATATTATGCCATCTGTGGTCATATAGTTAAACAGTAACTGAATATGTTTGGAAAAAAATTCCCATATCAGTGATTCAAGTTTTACTAACCCTCTCATGCAATAGGTTAAATTTAAATATTTGCAAGCTGATTTCCAGGGTAGGCCCAACAGTGATAGGTGAACTTTTGTTGTGGTCTTTATGAGAGCCCTAGAACTTTTTTTAATGGCAAGTATCACTGGCATCATAAATAACTATCATGATTATATAGCCAAATAAATATGAATAAAAAATATGTTTCCATCATCTTGCCTCAAAAATTCCAAAGACAAATATATGTACTGTATACTGCTACATGTGGGGGTATTTGAGCTTCCCAATGCCATAATCAATTTATGATGTGACAGCTTTAGAGGAAATAAGAAGAATCTGGACTGGTTACTATGGCAATACATATTTTGTAAACAAGCAGCCTTGAACTAATTTGCCAATAAAGTTGCTAATTTGTCTATCTGATATCATAGACATCCTACTATGACACACCCAGGTTTGACAAAATACTGTTGAAAACAAAATTTTTGAGAAAGAGTTGCAAGTTTGTTGACATTAAAAAAAAAAAAAAAAAAAAAAAAAAAAAAAAAAAAAAAAAAAAAAAAAAAGTGAACTTCAGGATCCTCAATTCTTTGCATCAAAATGCATATAAAGGTTAATATTAAAGAGAGCTTGATGGCTAGAGAGAAAATATAGCCTTTTACTGAAAACTAAGATACTAAGAAATTTTGGGAAATTTTTATGAATCTAGACATTATCAATTAATTGAAAATAGATGTTCAATTCTATTCTTGTCCACTTCAGTGCTAAAGCTAAGTCCAACAGGTTTATATATAGAGTTAAAAAATAAATCTTGTTAACAGTAACAGCAAAGTCAACTCCATGAACTGTAAACAACAATAAAAAATCAACTGAAAAGTTATAGCTGATAATACAATATATACAAACAGCTATTCTGTAACAGTAGATTATACAACAGAAAAAACAAAAACTTCACTTGAGGAAGAATCATCAATCACAAGCAAATATCATACACTGCTGTGACACTATTTCTTCTTACAATATGGAAAATATAATACTTTGGAGATACATTTCCATACAATTATATCACAAAAAAAGTTATCATAACTGCAGAGCTCATAGCTAATATATTCTTGCATCTTTTATCTGCAAATATTACTAATATTACTTTTTCCCTAAATGATGACTATTTATTTGTAAACTAAAGTATTCATTAAGGCAAGCACATTAGGAATGCAGTCTCCACTTACAGGTCTCATCCTCTCCAGCATATATATTTTTTCTTTTTTCAATTTTCTTTTCTTTTCTTTACCCCGTGGGGATTTTCTAACCTATATGAAATGATCTAATATACAGTTGCATACATTTTATTATACAATTTAGTGATTTAAATAATTTTTTGTCTTCTGATGTTTGATGAGTACACCATCAATGAATTTAACCAACAAACTTTAGTTGTTTACCTACTTCCACTTTTTGAAAAATTATGAATCTTAGTCTTATCATATCAAAAATTTAAGTGTACATCTATTTCAGCTCAACGTAATTCAGTTAACTTGCTTTAACCCACTTATGACAGGAGTCATGGCAAAAAATCCCAGGAACATCTATTCATGTCATGAGCCCATTTCCTGACAGCTTATGAGCCCAGCCTAGAGCCGCAAAATCTCCTGGGCATAGAGTGGCACACACTAATGCCCCCGATCATGAGTGGGTTAAATGCAAGCTGTATTTTCCAAACAGAATACTGCTTTCAGAGAAATAGTCTACTTTAGTGCTTGATTTAAAAATCTATTCTTCCTACATTTCGGAAGGTAAAGTTTTGTTGCCAACAAAAACATTATATTTTCTGATTAATATCTCCTGTAAAATGTTATAAAATGTTAAATCCTCTTTTCTTTTTCATCCTTTCTACTTTTTCCTTACTTCTAAGGTAAGAAATACTAGAATTCAGCAATAACTGATAAATATTGTATATTACTCATACTCTTTAGTGGTAAACTACAAAAGGAAATAAATACCCAATAAATAAAACACTAAAATACATAAAATACAGGAATTGTACAGACTTAAAACTATATAAAAAATATACTGTACATATTGTCTTGCATTTATTCTATCTACTAAAAACCGTGATCTGCCACCTTCTCTGATTTTGTTTATTTATGTTCTTTTGCATATGTATAGCTGGAGTATCTGGAAGATTCATGAACAAAATATATATTTTTTCTGAATATAGGATTTACAAGATGCTGATACATTTATCTCTTTCTCCTGAACTCAATACTGCATTTTCTGAGACTGTAAACTTTTGAAATCTCTGTAAAAATTACTGTAACTAGAAAACACTTCCCCAGTATATCAATCAATTCTGCAGGGATATTTTTCTGAGGGATATATGAATATGCCTTACAAATCCTATAAAAATATGAAAATTACTATGCATATAATTGCAGCCTAAAATGACAACCTTTGCTTAACTACTTCAATATTGGGAATCAAATACCTATGACATTATTTAACCACTGAGCATGTTTCTCTCCTAGGGTTTTTTGATATGTTTTCTTCTGAGTACATTTTTCTATCAGAAAGTGTTCTCCAAGAAGGACTGAACTCCATTCACTATTTACAGTTTCAACACATGACCTCTTGAGTGCTGGCGGAGGTGGGGAACATGTTCTTTGGGGTGAGGAGCACAGGAGATCTCGCAAGCGAGTTAGCAAGAAACGTCGGTGGCAGAAGAGTGCCTCATGGTCTTCGTATTCTTCAATCAGGTCTCTGTTAAAGTCCAGCTCCCTCTGGTACAGCTTTGTGACAGAGTTTACATATGGGACAATTTCACTTACATTCTCAACTTTAGATTCATTTACAAGTGACACAATTGAGTCAAGTAGATACTGTAAGTAGTGAAGTCCACTGTGCTCACTAACGTGGACGCTTATCCATTTATGGCTTTCCTCATACTCTGCTCGACAAACATCCACAAGTCCCACATATGTTGCGAACTGCTGTATGACCCATAATCGGTGGTTCCAAGAATGATAATTGTTCTGGTGCTTGTTAGCTGCCCATGTACAGAGGTCCAGCTCAGCAAATAGGAATCGCTCAATTTGTTCTGAGTGGAAAACAACACCATTACCATTGTGGTGTTCTGGATCGATACCATTGGGCCCATTTGCCTGCTGAGGAATGACCTTAGCTATAACATTTTTAAACATCCACTTACGGTGCTGGAACACCTCCATACACTTGGGCTTTCTTGAAAGAATAAGCCTAGTGAAGTGTAATTCTAGGTTGGCACTCAGGTCACCCTGGCCCAGCAGAACCTTGCGCAAATTCCAAAAGGTTGTGACTTCTGGGGCAATAAGAAGGCAGAACTGGGTCCAACGAAGTACCTGAGCAGGATCTGTGGGAAACAAGTTCTATAACTAAAGACTGTAAGAGTTAAGGAAGTTATACAAATATATATGCTGAGACAATGGTATGGACTAATTGAGAGGGAAGTAGGAAATGAAAAATCTCATAAAGTACTGACATCATATTTCACTTTACCAATTAGAACTGAGAAATAAGATTGCACTAGCCTTTGCACAAAGATTATCTATCATTGCCATCAACACAAGTTATATATATGTGCACACACACACACACACACACACACACACACACACACACACACACACACACACACACACACACACACACACACACACGCACACGCACACGCACACCCATGCACACACACACATTTACAAAGACTGGTTTCTTCCATATTAAAAAAACCTATCACTGTTAGCTTATCCCCAACTGAGTAACCAACTACTGTACTCATCTTACCCTCTCGTCTTTTGGTCTGCTTTGATCCCATTATCTTGGCATATGCATAAGCATAGACGTGTTTGACACACCATGACTCCAGACCTAGCTTGTGCTCAACATGGACAACAGGAGAGCGGTTTACTTCCCCCAAGGAAAAGACAATGTCAAACTCATCTCTGGAAGAAAAAAAGAAAAAGAAAAAAAAAAAAGAAAAAAATTAGTGTCTCAAAATTTCTATTGTAGATAACACATATCAATATTCATGTTAGTACTGAATACATGAAAGACAGGTTTGTTCATTACTGATTTCTCTGAATTGAAGAAACGTAAAGAAGATTTGCCAAATAAATCTTGGTAATGATATATTTCATGAGATGATAAAGTGTAAAAGTGAAAACAGACAATAAAACATGAGAAAAACATAGTTATTAATATAAATACATAAAGTACATAAAGTACCTCAAGAAGTATGTTGATGGTTATTTTATGAAAATATTTAGAAATAACCTTCTGGGGGGGGGGGGATAGGGTTCTGTAAAAAAAAAAAAAAAAAAAAAAAAAAAAAAAAAATATATATATATATATATATATATATATATATATATATATATATATATATATATATATATATATATATATATATATATATATATATATATATATATATATACACACACACATACATACATCATATATATATATATATATATATATATATATATATATATATATATATATATATATATATATATATATATATATATATATATATATATATATATATATATATATATACATATACATATACATATACATATACATATACATATACATATACATATACATATACACATACACATACACATACACATATATACACACACACACACACACACACACACACACACACACACACACACACACACACACACACATATATATATATAATATATATATATATATATATATATATATATATATATATATATCAAATCAGAACATACTGGTCAACAAGTATTAGTTAATAATATGAGAATTACATATAAATGACAGAAAAAAATAAGGTAAAGTAAGTATTGAAGAAGGCCTTCCTCCTTGTCCCACATCATAAACGTTTTGTCATATAAAATACACTTTGTTTGTATCTCTCCCAAAAATCAACCTGTGCAACATCCTCAATGTCCAGTCAGAACATGTAATTAAAAAGAAGAAGAAGAAGAAGAAAAAAAAAAAAAAAGAAAAAAAAGAAAAAAAGAAAAAAAAGTTAGGTACCCCAAAGCCCCAGGGTAACAATAAAATTTGTGATTACATATTCTACAATACTCATCACTATTTTCTTTTTAATAAGTAAATCAATTAAATAAACTAGAGATAGGGTAATTTCTCTGAATTATCTGAAGACAAAATAGAAGGGTTCCCCCAAGTTACATAAAGAACTTACAACAGGCATTAAATGAGATGATGGATAATGAATTTAAGTAATATGCATTGTAAAATAAAGGCTAACTGTATTTGCTTAAATGGGCTTCTAACCTATATACTTACTTCTATTAGTTCTGCAATTGTCAAATGTAGAATCTATCTTATATAGAACATTTCTACAATAGATCTCTTACATATAGAACACTCAGCATTGCAAATGCTACAAACAAAATATAATATGAAAATAATAATGAAGAAATAACACCAATATATGCAGAAAAAAATACAAACAATATCAACATCTAGCTGATGAAATCAATCCATATTTGTTATAAAAAGCTGACAATATGAGCTTCTACCTAGTACTTAAAAAAATAGAGTAAATAAATATACAAATAATAGATAAATAAAACAAAAATATCTTAAACCAACCAACACTTTATGCATAAAAAATGGGGAAAAATTTAATAACATATAAAAGAACATGCATTACTCTGAATCAATCTAAACTTAACAAATGTTAAAAACGGTTAAGCTCAAATTTATTGTGCAAACAACCTTTGAAATGTATCCTTTGTGCTAAACAAAGCACAGCTGTAAAGCACACTCAAGCCCTCAACTTGAATTTGATGCTAGCCTGGCCACCCATGCTAAAAAATAAACATCAACTATAATCAAGCATCCTTTATTTTAAAGTTTCATGCAAAACAGACATAAGAGGAATCTAAAAAGCTATGCATATCATACATGAGTTTAATATGAACTAGAAAAGGGATCATTACACCTACTTCTATATACAATGAGAATGTAAAATTCCTAAAGATATACATAAACAAAGCCACTTTAACTAATACTATCTTCTAAATTTCCTATTGATTTGAGTATCTCCTTATAATACCTTGCAGCTGTGATATGAAACACTAATAATAAAATACTTTTCTCCAATAGCAATCCCTGACAAACTAGCATAAGACCCGTAGATATCTGAAAACCTATCTCCTATTTTCCTTTCTTCCTGAGACGTCCATTAAAAAACTTTTGTATAACTGCAAATATATTGATAAATCAGAAAATAAAAGAATACAATTTCTTACTTACAGCAGAGTATCTTGACTCAAAACTGCTTCTATTTTTTTCATGATTCTTTCACACGTTACATCTTCCATGGTGGTCAGAGTTGAAACCTGTAGATACACAAATAATTTAAAAACCATTATGACCAAGAATTGTAATTCATAAAATCCTAAAAAAGAGCAATAAAACTATTCAAATCAACAAAGACACTCACTCTCTCTCTCATAATTATGCAAAAAATAGCTATTTCAAGCAGATGTATTGTGACACAAGAATCCTAGTGCAAACTAAGCTTCCATTGCAATTTAGGCTTGTTGCAGAAAATATCTGCAGTACTGCATCCACCCATGACAAATTCTTGTAACTAACGAGGCCACCACACCTTCACCCTGTCAAAGGCAAAGAACCCCCACTACGTATTTCGTTAGATAGAGCTTGGACTGATTCGATATTTGACAGCAAATCACCAGGTTGGCCTACAAGTTCTGTTTTACCAGACTGTACATGGTGTAGGTTTGCTGTCCAGGTGCATTACCTATGACACAAAGGTCATAGCAAATACCTGAGACACCGTGGCTGTAAATCTGATAGGTGATTGTGGGCATACCTTCAATTTAAGTAGATTGTTATTTTAGCCTTTAAAAGGTTTATTTAGTTTTAGTCTATCTCTGTAAAGTCCCAATATCAACATTCACCAAGTTCTGTTAGTGATTTGTCATTTTATACTACTGTACTCTGTGCATTAAATTATATATTTCTATCAATAAAAGGTGATTTTTCAACACATGCTATCATTGAGTTCAATAATTTCACTAGATCCAGGTGATGTGACTATTACATCAAGAAAAATATTGGCTGAGGGCTGGGTGATAGGAAAATGCTGTCTTTGAAAAATCTAACTGTGGGCTGGGGTGACAGGAATGTGCCATCATGAAAAATCTGGTTGAAGGCTGGGGTAACAGGAATGACTTGCCTAAAGTGTACAAAGCTATTGGAGGAGGGTTTGACTAAGTGGTTCTTGCATCATTTCCACCATTAACCCCTATGATCCAGATGATATGACCATGTCCTAAAGGAAGGAAGGAAGGAAGGAAGGAAGGAAGGAAGGAAGGAAGGAAGGAAAGGAAGGAAGGAAGGAAGGAAGGAAGGAAGGAAGGAAGGAAGGAAGGAAGGAAGGAAGGAAGGAAGGGAAGGAAGGAAGGAAGGAAGGAAGGAAGGAAGGAAGAAAGAAAGAAAGAAAGAAAGAAAGAAAGAAAGAAAGAAAGAAAGAAAGAAAGAAAGAAAGAAAGAAAGAAAGAAGAAAGAAAAAGAAAAGAAAAGAAGAAGAAGAAAAAATCAGCATTATTATTGCACTGCCAAGAGGGATGATATGGTGTATGTGCAAGGAAAACAGTCTTTTAGCATCTGTATGAAGCATATGACAAAAATAGACATTGGAAAATGGTAAAATTACAAAAATAATTGTTTTCGCAACCATGTAGTAATGTGGTTACCTGTTAATGTTTACATACAAAAGGCTTGAATGTAAACATTCACTTTTTTATCATACCGATGTCATTATGTTACATGCTGCATAGGTTCTGTAACTCCTTTGATGCATATTTAACTTACCTGCAACTGACAAACACAAAAATATCCTTTGATAACACCAATAAAGGGCCATAAAATTACCCATCAATATCTTGTGGTTACCTGTTAATGTTTACATACAAAACGTACTGTAATGTCACCATCGCCGGAGGACCAGCTGGACGAGATGGACAACTTGTCTGGGACAAGATAGGAGAAGTTCCGAACAGTCATAACATCTTGCCTAACTCGTCTCAATGAGCAGGACGAGCAGTTCCAAATGCAGCATTGGTGTGTCCATACTGCAAAGATTAACCTTGCAAACACCTATGCAACTTGGTACCTATCAACTTAAGTAGATGAAGGGTGTTCACCCTTCTTTGGGAGAGTGCATCATTGGAGTGGTGCATATATACACCTGACTGTAGAGTTTGGTCTGTGTGAGGAAATTTTTTTTTATTCAAATTCTATCCACGCAAATGTAGTTCTCGGTTAACTTTCCACACACACTTAGTTCATTTTTAAATCATCTTCCGCGCATAAAATTCTTTTGACCTTTCCGCGCACTTGTTTCACCATCCACCCGCTGATTATCTCTGTTTTATACTAGGTATATAGATTGGCATTGAGTTGATGGCTCTATTTTGAAAGGTCTATGGAGAAAATTAAAAACATGAAAGTGAACGTCAATGTGCCAATCTAGGATGCATACAATTCTACTATGCCAGAGATTTCCTGCAAAGCATTACATGATTTCCACAAAGGCTCAGTTCTGTTAACAACTGTCTAATACAATATTGATAACTCGTTACAATATTAACCCTATCTTTGTGATAGGCATTAAAAAAAATAATTGTTGAATTTCTGCGCAACTGTAGACAAATTGATGGTTTCTACGCATGAAAAAATGTAATATTTCCCGCGCAAGGGAAATACTCTACAGTCTGGCATATATACTTGATAACACTCCTTTAAATGTCCGCTGCATATTTGCTTTGGGTGTTTTCCATGTTTTCCCCTCTTACAATTCTCAGGTCCGTCCTTGCCTGCCCTAGCAACTGTAGTACGATAGTAGGTCAATACCCCAGAAACTATTCCAGGCAAGTATCAGGGAACTAGGCAATCCATCAGTACCAATACAATTAGTATCGGCGACGCAGACTCGTTGTACAGAATCACCTACGATACCAACGACAACTGACACTACTCACTTTTCCAGTGATGTAAATAAAGCTGTCACAGAGCAAAAGAGGAAATCCCGAGGTGTGAGAGAAGCCCAAGAAAAAGTCTGCAGGTTTGTTGTGGTTCCGGTATCTTGTGCGTTCGAGTTTCGACGTTTTTCTACAATGATGTTTGTTAATATTTACTTTGAATATCAGTTTCGGTTTCATTTTAAATATCTAGAGTATCTGAAACATGAACATCATGATTATGATGTTCTGACAGAAAAAGTACATTTAAAAGACGTCGGTGGGTTTGTAGTTTCAAATGCAGCATTAGTTAACGACGTCATTAGCACGTCAATGTCGCATCTACGTTGCAAGAATTGTCTCAAATCCAAATTGTAAATGGAACCGTATATCATAAAAAAAAAAAAAAAAAAAATGCTTAACTTCCTCCAGTTGACACTAACAAATGATAACATACTTTCTGACGAAAAGTGATGAGTGAAAATAATGACCAAACAGTATGATGACACCGAATGTTATCTTACGAAGTGCTATGTGTAATACCCTCATGCATTACGGCAGTGGTTCCCAACTGTTCATTCAGTTATGTCATCCACAGGCGTCATTTCAGCTTTTTTTTTTTTTGAGAGGGGAGGGGGAAGGTGAGCGAAGCGAACAAAAATGTTGAAAAAGTTATTCTACGGGCATTTTTACCCTGTAACCTGACCTACATAGGTATAATAATTAAAGAATTAAGAAAAAAAGCTCTGGAAAATACAAGCCTAATAGTAACTTTGAAGGGATGGCACCTGAGCAACTGCTCAAACTAACTGAATGTAACTGTAGGAAAGTTCTTGTCAAAACAGAGTACATTAGGAGCCAGAAGGCTTTATCTAGAGCGCCAAATACTTGCAATTATTTCAAGTCAGTGTGCAGAGCATCGACGTTGTCGGGCGTATGAAAATCCATTAGGTTAAAGTATCAACACTGCTTTAACAAGACCTCATACACGGTTTCTCCATATGTATGAGAAATAGCATGATTATATGGTAATGCAATTGAGATTTGAATGGCTTCCCTTTGATGTCATATCACATGCTAGAATTATGGGGCCGGATTCTCAAACGCGTTAAGGTGCCGAGGTCACTTACGGCCGAGTGATCTTACAGCCCATACACAAAGCAAGGAAACCGCCATATTGGTGCGTTTTAAGGCGCCGTAGGTTAAGGCAGGGGGAGAGCAGCCTATAGCGCTTTCCGGCGGGCGGGAAATTGACACTTTTCGCTCTTATACAAGGGAAATACAGCAGGACGGCGAAGGCCTCCAGCCTTTTGAGAATCCAGCCCATTGGTTGTAACTCACTTGTCCTAAAAAGAACTACTTTCAAGCATTTGCCTAAATTACTTGACTTCCACATTCCTGCCAAGATGAATCATGTTAATTCATATAGTAATGTTTAACATTTTAATGGTAAATGATAATACAAGAATGATAACAACAACAATAATATATGATTACATCAAGAATGATAATGATAATAGCAGTGACAATACAACGACAGTGATGGTCATAATAAAAATAGTACATTCATAGTGAGTTTATTCATTAATCACGTCGACTATTCTTGTTACATTTTCTTAGCAGATATCAATAGGAATCTCTTGGTACCTCTGAAGATGCACACTGTCTCCGTTCTAGAGAAAAAAACTATTCATATTTATTACTTCGATTACTGTACTTATAATAATAATAACAATGAATGACTATTTGTAGTGGTGTTGTTATTAATTTTTATTGTGATTACTATCATTATTGTCATTATCATATGTCATGAGCATCATCTATATGGATGAAAAAAGTAAATAAAAATATAAATAATATATAAAAAAAATATAAAAAATATCTTAGTATTTGTAGAGCTTTATTTGAAGGAAGGCCTGTGAAAATGTATACAGATTCGAATGCTTTGCTCTGTATGTGACTCGGTACACGCTGTCCGCTTTTCCGTACATTTCCTCCGTTTTCTAAACATTAGATGACAAGGAAAACGAATATAAATAATAAAGTTGAACCATAGACTATCATATACGGATGGATATTAGATTATAGTTAAAGTGCGTAGGGTCAGAGTCTGATGATCATAGGATTCCCTGCTTTCTTTACTTTCTTGTTTATTGTACTGCATAAAACAATGCAGTAAATGCATAATTAAGCCAATAATGTGACAACATTCATTATAAAATGCACCCGCATCTCTATAGAAAATATATTAGATGTATAACTTAAGAAAATGAGACATTGAACCTGTAACCTTGATTTATCTATAAGTAAACGACTATTCAGAGGACTGTGTTGCAGGACTGAAGGTTTAAGGTCGGTTTGTGGGACGGTGGCCCTTTCTTTAGTGATGCACTGCTGGAAGACCCAGCTATAGTGACAGCGGATGAAAATTTCGCCGCGATGAAGAGATTTTCAGTTTTGTTTTCGACCTACCTGGTTGCCCAGTCATTGCTTGCAATGATTATTTTCATTGTCTGAGGTTTGATCTGGAGAAGCCTTCGGCAGGATGGTGTCACCAATTTTCTTGTTTAATTTATTTAGCTATGGGGAAATATATCAATATTATTTACAACTTTAATTGCATCACCCCATATGTAGTCTTTCAAAATAACAAAAATACAGCTTTCGGTAAAAAAAAAAAAAAAAAAAGTGGTGACGTCACAATCAGTCTTTTATATCCGTTTATCTGACGAATTTTATAAGATTTCTCTAGGTATTCAACCACCAATCCGAAGAAGACAGTGCCTGTTAGTAAAACGCATCAATGCATAACTTAGACTATAATAAAGTAGGTAAATTTTAGAAGAATTTTGCCCTGCTTATCATGACAAAATTCTTCTGGGTGTAGGCGGCTGCGGTAACTATAACCCATCATATAAAAAGCTTCGGACGAACGCGCTTCGGGACCATTAACGTTCTGTTTTGTCTCTCGGTGGGCGCCTGCGATTCTAAGCGCATCAATTAAAAAGGCTTGTAACAGGGCTGGAATTTTACGGAAATTCGTCTGCTAAACGGAAGCAAAAGACAACTGACGGGCGGGGACGTCACTACGATTTTTTTTCTGAAGGCCATATTTTTGTAATTTTGTATTACTACAGATGATTTGATGCAAAAGAAGTGTTCAAAACAATATTGTTATATTCCATGTTCATGAAAATTGCTAAAACCATTCTGGTATGAACTGGTATGATGTGGCAGACCGAACATCATCGCGGCGGAAATTTCATCGGATGCCACTTCAGCTGAGCATCACCATAGGCAGAGCCACAGCCCCTAGATGACTTTGAACCTTCAGCCCTGCAACACATTCACTATGAATAGTCTTATATTTTTCAGATAAATCAAGTTTACAGGTTCAGTGTCGCGGACAACCCTGGCTGTGGCCCAGACCCGAATTCTTCAAGCTTTTTCTAACTTTACTAGTAACCTAATAAATTGGTTTGGTGCAGAAAACTTGTTATTTTTTTCTAAGATGATTATAAATGGCATAAATGAAATAATCGTGAAATGGATTTTATACAAGCCAGTAGCCCCTTCGGAAGGTTCAAACTCCCCAACGAGCCCAGAATGCGAAAGAACTAAAAACATTGTGGCAGCCCTGCTTTGTATTTCGAAATACTTTTTAATATAAATATATATTAATGAAAAAAATAAAACTACATATGCAAGACTTTTATATGATTTAATCATTGGGAGAGGGAATTGGAGTTCAATTAGAAATGCTGGAGCTTCGAATGAACGAAAACTAATTCATATTACAGAAAATATTAAAGCTTGTAATCGTCTACAAATACTTAGAAATAATAGGTATCTAAAACTAACATTCTAGGAATTTATATGTATAAATATATAACACACACACACACATATATATATATATAGTCTTTGATTGTTTTCTAGGAAATTCTTGATGAGTACGATGTTGCATATTTGATCCAGCTGTTTTTATTTACTATTATCAGTAGAAATAGATCATTTGTTGATAAGTTATACATGTATGAAGCTGATTCGTTGGACTGAGAGGCGTCCTTCTGAATACAAATTAAGCAGAAAAGTACTATACATACGGATTCCAGACATAGTTCGGCTCTCAGTCACAAGGTCCCAGTTCCTGAGTAAAAAAATATATATATCCGGAATAATATATACCCTCACACTCAAAAATAAATTCATATGGACAGAATTATGACTGTGTGGTGACAAAATGTGGTGAAAAGTTGATAAAATCTAAAATGTAAATGGTTAGGTAATTAGTGTCGGACAGCATTATATGCAAGCATGCACGCACGTACACAGCCAAGCGCACACTCTCACCAGAATTTTAACTAATAAATTTATTATATATTTCATTTTTTGTAATATGTATACTTGAATTTCCGTTATGTACATATCTATTTATTTTTCTGCTGTATTACTCATCGTTTCTTCTTGTTGTTCCCTTGATTATAATCACAGAATTTCCGCTTAATTCGGTTTGTCCTCTTCCTGTTCCTCCGAGATTGCGTTGTGGCCTTGAACCTATTCCCGTCTGAACCACCAGTTTGTAGTGTTCTTTTCCCTTCAAACAAACACCCGTGTTTTCCATTGTACTGATCCGTGTTTTTTTGTGAAGCACCTTTAGTAATTCCTGTGTTGGAGCTGGACATAAAGTAAGCGAAATCTTTGAAATTCTTAAAAATAAAAACAAAGGATGTCCGTAATATCCACTTACACTAATTTGTAGAAATGGTTTCCTGTATTCCGTCCACAAGTCAACCGCGAACTCTGGAAAATGGAACACATTCTGCTGTGGACGCAAATAATGCAAAAGTATTGATTGACTTTCCTCTCCATTGTAGCGAAGGCCACACTACGAGTCCACCACGCTAGTCCCTGCCTGTGGGCCGACCTCGCAACACTCCTGCACTCACCTGCGCTGACGGTTGCGCTTCACACACGCCACTTCGTTCGTGTAGTGGAAACGGTTGAACTTACGAATTTTCCCCTTTCTCATATCCGATGGTTGATGACAATGGTTGTGCAGGTGATTTAGACTTTGTGGTTTGGGCGTGCTAAATTGTTTGTAAAATCACTGAAAAAGGAACAGTTATTGTTTACAGGTAAGGAGGCATAAACAGCTCTTGACTCACCTTGTGTGTTGTTATAGGAACACTGGTAAGTTCCATAATGTTTTGTTA